TCTTTTCACAGCTGACCTCGCCTCTGTCCTGCTCAAATCTAAATTGTTCATGTACGCTGATGACGTTGTTCTTCTATATTCTTTTCAACTAACTAACGCTTCTACCGCTGTAACTGACATAAATCAGGATCTCTGCTTGATTGCTGAATGGGCCTCCTCAAATGCACTTCATCTTAATCCCTTTAAGTCCTTGTTGATTGTGGCAGGATCACCCTACTTACTATCACACCTATGAGACTCATAAACTCCTTACCCGGATTCAACGTATACAGAATTCATGCCTTCGTTTCTCGTACAACGTTCGTAAATACGATCATATATCCCCTAGTTTTTTGCGTTCCGGCTGGCTAAAAGTTCATCAGCGTTTTGTCCTCCACTTGTGCTGTCTTGTATTTCGTCTTTTGCGCTCAGGCATTCCTCGATATCTCCGCAGTCTTTTGAATTTAAATTCTGCTCTCCATGCTGAAAATACTCCTGTCACTCGTTGTCATGATTCCTTATCCTTTCCCAGGCATCGTACATCCAAATTTAAGGCTGCTTTTTCTTATACTGCCACTAAATTCTATAATGTGTTACCCTCTTTTATCCGTTCATCCCCCTCGCTTCATTCGTTTCGTTCAGCCGCTGCAAAATTCATATCGACTTTGTAAGACTATTATTTCTCTCGTAGTATTTCTCTTGTAAATTTCGCCGTATTTTGCGCTCTGTATTTCTCCATGTATGGTTCACATATTTACACATTAGAAATTATTTTTCATTAATTATATGAATATTTGTATGGTGTCTGTAATCAATTATATATTTCTGTACCTCTGTATTTCTTTAGTCGAATAGTTTACTAGTGGGCGTAGTAGCAGCAGTATTGCTGGTGCCTTACTATTTGTGTATACTATATATATATATACATAATAATAAATAATAATAATAAACAATAAATAATAATAATAATAATAACATATATTCGCTTTGTTCGATATTACAATTTCTTGTTCGATATTACAATTTCTTGTTTTTATAATTGACATTTTGCTTTAATTTAATTTTATTATTGTTAACTAAAGTCATTAAGTTTTATTTTAATTTATTACGTTGACTAGAATCATGAAGTTTTTTGGTTCAATTATTGACATCTGGGATTGGTGGTTCAGCGATTAACGTACTGATGACATTAAAGATGTTTAAAGGTATAATATTATATTATAGTTATAACACATTGTTAACGTTGACTGAGATTTTTTTCGTTGTTATTAGAGAGGAAGCTGTCATCTCAGTCGCGAGGAAATTTCCAATGTAGATCAAAACATAGTACATGTAGCGCGGACATTATAATCATGACATGATTCGAC